GCAAGAGAGCGTGTTCCATTGTTAAAAGAACCAAAGAGTAAAGCAATAAGAAATAGAAAATGGAGAAGAAAGTGAGCGGTTTCTTTTCTCGAGTATGAACTACCACGCCCATACTTGAATTCACTGCTACAATGACCACTGTTCCGTAACAAAGGCTAAACAGGCAAAATATTGGCGAAAATTCTATCGTCATGGTATAGACAGTTTCTATGAGAGCCACACGACATGAATAAAGTAAGGGAAAAATAAGAAAGAATAGTGAACTTTTTCAAATAATATCTTAAATCTAATCTATGAAGAAAAGTGAAAGAGAAAGAAAAAGAGAGAGAGAGAGAGAGAGAGAGAAACCATTAATCCTGTTACATGACTAAACGGTCACATTTTCTCTCATAAAGATTCGACGGAATCAAGAAGGTGCTAAACAAATTTTTAAGGACTTCCGCTCCGTTTAACTACAGCATTTATATGTACAAGGGTAGAGTTCATATAGACGACATAAACTAAATTTAACAATACTAAATCTTGTTCCGTTTTATTATATCTCTGTCTCTCTCACTCTAACTTTCTCCCTCCTTCTTTTTCCCATGCACGTGACATACTCTAGAAAAACTATTATGGTTAACCACAAAGAACTTGTATGATCTCGTACCAAAGCAACCCCATTTTCTACCTATTCTTTCTCTCTCTCTCTCTCTCTCTCTCTCTCTCTCTCTCTCTCTCTCTCTCTCTCTTAGACTTATCCCTAAGAGTTTTGACATACTTCGTTAAACTCAAAGTAAAGCATCGACGACACCCTGCTGAGAAGTGTTCTCTTGCTTGAGTTTTCTAGTGGCAATTCGTTTATTTCGCGTTTTCTCGCGTGATCGCCTCCTCCTACTTCAGAATACTCGATTTCTTATTCGTGAATGCTTCTTTTATTTGATTATCAAATCAAAATAAATATGTTTCCATTAAAGTGGGATTATCCGATATTGTAAAATATTTCTAATGAAATAAATAACTAACGTTTATATGTAAGAATCTAATACGCGCCTGTGAGAATTACACAATGATATAATATATATATATATATATATAAACAAGAATAATATTAGACGAAAGAAAAATATGAAAATCTTCATGTGCCGCATTAGATGGTAGCACAACGTTCAGAGAATTTATAAATTATGAATATTTCAAGAGAGAATGACAGCAGAGGCTTTTCGCGAAACTGCTATTTTCCTATCTCGGATGCAATAACGTCGGCCAGTGTAAAAGGGATGCTTAGGAAACAGGATGGTATACGACGCTAAAACGAGAACATCCCTTTGAGACGAGCGTCAAAGCTAATGGACTCAATCTCTCCTTCTCTCTCTCTCTCTCTCTCTCTCTCTCTCTCTCTTTCTCTCTTTCTCTATCACCCTCTCTATCACTCTTTCATCGACTGTAAAGAGTAGCTGAACTATCTTTTCCTCTCTCGTTGTTTCTATCTCTTTCTCTCTTAAGTATTTTCCTACCCTTTTCGTTCAAATAACTCGAAAACGGAAGCCTCGGCGAATGTTTAGTAATAGTTGATCGCAACTTCGTTATTACATACATAGTTATAAATAAACTCATTTTTGTTGTAATTTCAAAAGATAAGTACTTCTCAAACATCTACTAAAAGTTAATTTTGACATGAAACAAAGATACAATTGAGATTTTCTACCGATTAAAGAATAACCTGAGATAAAATTTGTGGATATTTGAGAATTACAAATGTTAAAACTATAAGTCTAATGTAATAGAACAAATTCGATGTAAATCAATATTTATTATCAAATTAAATATATAATAAATGGAGTAAAAAAAGAAAATAAATGATTATTAGTATAAACAATTAGGAAAGTTATTGTCAACGTGGAATATCTAGATCTTTAGGTGTAGGTATCTCTTCGACAGCACAAGCTGAGAGTAGGAGAGTTTGAAAACCGATTAGGAGTGTATATCGAAACACGAAAACGAGCTGGACGCCTTGCAACGAAACTCGAAAGCTTCCAAGTTTAAAGCTTATACGGGACCACGACGTTTATTAACTTCAACATGAGAGTTCTGCTATCTGTTATCTAAAATAACTTGCTTTCAATTAGGATAGATTAATATTAGCTAATTTTCAACTATTTATATTTAATATAAATAAAATAGAGAATATGACACAAATAAGCAAGTTAGTGTAACTGTTGTATAATAGAAATAAGAATAAAGGGGGAGGGGAAGGAGGGAAAAGGCATATATTGTATCTCAACAGACGAGAGAGGTAAGAGAGAAAAAGAGGAAGAGGAAATCGGAGAAGAAGCTGTCAAGGGAGGTCCATGCATCTGGCACTTACTCTACCTATCCCAGGGTGCACCACCCTCGATCGTTACACTACCTTTTTTCCCACAATGATGCTCCATTTTGTCACAATTATCGCCATTATTCGACACGGGGAGAGCATTTTAGTTGGAGCTCCGTCGTTCACAATGGACTCGATATCTATATACGTTTTCTCCTCTTGTATATGTGTAATATGGTGATGTAATTGTGTATACGTGTGGATGATGATAGATAGATAGATATCTGTGAGTACACGTATAGGTATGCAGGGATGAGTATATAGATATGTGTTGAGAGACAAATGGATTGCTGACGAGGGATGGTGAAGGGAGGCAAACTCGAGTGGTCCAACCATCGATTCTTCCCTGCGATCGAGTTTTATTGTGTTTTGACAGCGGCGAGTCTGGTTTCGTGCAACCACTATAAGATTTATCTATCTATCTATCTATCTATCTGTTCTCTACTTCCCTCTCTCTTCTTTTGATTTTTCGCACCGCGAGCTACTCTATTGCCAATAGGATCCTTCTACCTCGCAAAAAAAAAACGAAAGGAAGAAAAAAGAACTTTCTTTTTGCCTTCTTTCTTTTTTTTTTTTTGCTTACCAATTGTATTCGAACACAGTACCAAAATATAGAGTTACCGGATCATCGAGATTATCATCGACGGATAAATCCGTCTCGATTTCTCGTTATTTCGAGCAAAATTCGAGTAGCTTTCGAAATCTATTATTGTTAAGAATACTATTTTTAAGGCGTGTATATATATAGGTACTAGCATAAGTAAATCTACATCGATCTATATATGTATACAAAAAATAGCTAAATCATTATAGTTTTTAAACTAAATGCAACGTGACATTATTCTATTATCGTCAAAAAAAAAAAAGATAACAATTTATCATAAATGCGTCAAAGTCTTTCTTTTTTTTTATATACATAAATAATTGAACAAACCGCAGCTCGACCTGACATTTCTCATTATCATCGACAAAATGATAACATTTTTCACAAAATGTCAAAACCACCTGATAAATTTAATGCTATTGATATCTAGACGTAACTGTGCTAGTTACATTGAATATATAAGCTCATTGTAAACATAAAAATATATATATTTTATAATTATATTGCGATAATTAGCACCAAAATTTATGAAAGTATTAAAAAATCATCTATCGATATGTGTATCCAAATGCATACTTTCAATGAAATAACACGAAAAATTCAAAATGCAACCCTTAAAATACCCATTATCATCGTCAAAAAGATAACATTTCTCGTGAATGCATCGGAACTAACTGATAAATTCAATGCAGCCGATATCTGGACGAAAACGAGCTCGTTACATTGCACCTAAGCGTATTGTATATCCGTCAAACGTGTACAACGTGAGAAAAGGCAGCACGTACGCAATAGTAACGGAAGACCGATGTCGATAGCTATAGAGAAAGAGAAAGAGAGAGGGTGTTAGGGTGGGTGAGAGGGTTTGATAAAAGGGGGGAGGGGGAGGATCAGGGAGGTGAGATGAGTAGGGTATGGGGTATAGTTGGAGTATATGGTTGGGGGAGGGGAACCTCGACCCGTGTTATTTGCAGCGAAACGTAACGATTGCAACTCAACGTACACGTACACGAACACATATACACACACACACAAACACACGTAAAGATAGAATCGGTGTGACACAATGTGCGCGCGTGTACGTTCATGCTGGTAGCCTTCGTAAACGCCATGTTGCATCTGGGTTGCTTTGAAAATAATGTTTTTGTGCAAGCCGAAACGCGGCAGATATGAAAGCAGCATGGCGGATGCTTACAAATAGTTGCAGGGCGGCACCTCCATATAAATGCACGAAGCGGCGCGCCGCACCACACCAAGCCGTACTCTCCTTCCTTTGTTCCATCCAAACTAAGAGAGGGGAGAAAGAGAGAAAGAGAGTCTTCGATGCAACTTTATACTCTTTCTCCCCTAGATCTCCATTGGTTCTTTTTTTAAATATATGACAGACATATTTTTGTAGACGTTTTTCTTATTGTGTTCTATTAATTCATTGAGTTAAAATTATATACGTATACCAAATTTTGTTATGTCTTTATTTCTTGTTTTTTTTTTTCAAAAAAAAATCTTGAATGGTAATAGAAAAATTAGTTTTGAAGTATATTGTGTAAATACTTATTTACTGCTATGTCTATCGTTATATTATGATCAGATAAGATCTATGTCTAACCGAAACAAGAAAGACGACGAAGGCAACGAACACGCAACACCATGTCATCGCCATCGTCACCGTCGTCACCGTCGTCACCGGCATCGTCTCCTTCGTCGTCGTCGTAGTCGTCGTCGTCATCCACCCTCCGGACGGTAGGTATAGTTTATTAGGTATAGTTTCGGGATCAATATCCCAGCAACGATGGGCGTAGCCAAGTTATTCTTGTTCAGCATCGAAGGGTCCATCTTACTAACGCCCACTTCGTTCCGATTGGTCGTTAGGTTCTAACCGAGAGTCGCTCTTCGCAACCGTAATATTCCCCAAGTTATACTCTGGGACAGATAGGCGGAGCTTAAATCCTTCCTGCTTTCCTACTGGTGGGGGTAAAACCAGCCAGTACCGTCATCCTAGCAGATAACCAAGCTGTAAATCATGGCCAGTCGGTCGTTCGGAGCGCATCAAACAACAAATAGGGTACAAATTCGTGGAAAAACTAAGTCCCTAAGAATAGTGTCACGAGTTTCCTTATTTATATGTATATACATGTGTATAATATATGTATATGTACTTGTGGATTCCTCTTTCTTGTTTTTTTCGTTCAAGTGAAAAGAAAGAAGAGATCAGAAAAAGTTGTAGTGTCTATGAATTAAAGAGAAATTCAAGTGCTATCATATTTCTCTATATTTTATCGATGCATTTTTGGACTCCAAGGTGAAATTAAGCGATCCGATCGATCGTCAAAAAAATTCTTTGAATTTGATTGACACGTGAGGAGAAGGGGAAGGAGTAGAAGAAGAATAAGAAGAATAAAAGAATAATAAAAAATAATGTGTAGTAACGAAAGTCCACCACCAGCTAAGGAACCGTTGGCTGTCGGATTGGGTAATTCGATGGTCGGGTTCTTTCCAGGCTTTGACCAATATCGTCTTCATCTTTATCATTATGCCATGACTGAGAGATTACGTATAGCGCAACAGTTACACCCACAACATCCTGGGGTCGGTCATCCACCGTCGGGTTCACCAGCTCATCTTGGATTAGGTGCTGCATTTCCTGCTCCATTACCATTATATCCAGCGGCAGCAGCAGCTGGATATCCGAGTCGATTGGCATTGTCCATGGCATTGCTTCATCCTCATCATCAGAGAATACCAGAGGAACCTAAACCACAACATAGTTACATCGGTTTAATAGCAATGGCTATACTATCGTCTCCGGAAAAGAAATTGGTCCTTTCGGATATTTATCAACATATATTAGAACATTATCCATATTTTCGTACGCGTGGTCCAGGATGGAGAAATTCTATAAGACATAATTTATCGTTGAATGATTGTTTCGTCAAATCGGGTAGAAGTGCTAACGGTAAGGGCCACTATTGGGCCATTCATCCTGCCAATTTGGAAGATTTCCGACGCGGAGATTTCCGAAGGCGCAAAGCCCAAAGGAAGGTACGAAGGCATATGGGTTTAGCAGTAGACGAAGAGCCAGACAGTCCTAGTCCACCACCCTTACCAGCTACACCACCACCTACCGCATCGGCATTAGGTCCACCCGTCGCTTCTCAACAATTAACCGGAATTTGGACGAGCCCTGCGCCAGCTCCACCTGGCCCCCCACCCCATTCTCATCATCACCATCACCACCATCATCATCATCATCAACAACCGCAACAGCAGCAACAACAGCAACAACAGCAGCAACAACATATGTTTCAAAGTCGTTCCATCAGACAATCCTCATCTCTTCAACCATCAAGAAAACGACTGTTCGATGTAGCTTCACTCTTGGCGCCGGACGACCAACACCATCACCACATCGAGTCAGATTTAAGGCTACCTAAATCTAGAAGATTCAGTTGCAGCGAAGACGAATTGCACGACCTGCAAGAACAAGAACAGGAACAAGACGAAGAGGTTGACGTAGACGTCGACGTTGACGTTGTTGAAGGCAACGCTCTCCCCTCGCCTACTGGGACACCCTCGGCTAGTCCAGAAGCTAAATTGGTCTCGCCGATTGCTGGTCATTGGAATGATCGGAGTTTGCAAACTGGACCTCAACAATTACCATCTCTTCATCTTCACAATCACGTACACGTTAGGAATTATTACGTACCAACTAACGCCAGTAACGCTTCTGGCGTCTAATCGAATCTCAAGTGTGTCCAAACCATGTTGTTTATGCATGTGTGTATGCATGTGTGTGTGCATGCGTATGTGCATGTGTGTGCGCGCGTGCTGGTTATCTATCTCTTTTTCTTCAACGACATCAGATCTCACTAAAGTGTCGAAAAATATGGTGACCTCTTCATCGATATTCTATTCAGACGTATGATTTACGTCAACAGTGCAATAAGCTTCTCTATCTGTTTGTCAAGATCGATCAAATGAGCTTGGTGTCTCCTAAAAAAAAAAAAAAAGATAAATGAAGAAAGAGATAGAAGGATGTCAAAATAATTCAACAAATAAACTAAATATAAAAATTAATTTAAAGTGCGAGAGAAATCTATATAGGTACAATTGTAAATAAGAAAACGAATCGAGATAACTTTGAGATCTCTCTCGAATGTTTAAAGTGTGATATAAAAGAGAAAGCATTAAAATCGCATAGATATACGTAGTGTATTATAAAAATAGACATTTCTTTTTTTTTTTTTGAATGTACTAAAAGAGAAAAAAAAAAGAATTTATCTTGTGTACAAAGAACCTTCGTATAACTTTCCCGTTTGTATGTATGTATGTATGTATGTATGTATGTATGTATGATAAGTGTGTATGTATATGTTTATGTGATTGGATATCGCTCGATCAGTGTCTAGCGATGAAAATCATTATCGCCATCGCCATCATCCTCATCCTCATCATCGTCGTCATTGTCGTCGGTATTAGGAAGAAGAAGAAGAAGAAGAAGAAGAAGAAAAAGAAGAAAATGAGAACGAATGTTATAACTCGAAGTTATAAACGTAGAGAGAGAGAATGTTTTTTTAAAAAAAAAAACAAATTCGATGTACTTGGTAACACGAGTTTTTTCGTCGATAAATTGTCTCTCGAGAAATATGAAAACTGGAATATAAATAAATGAATTACAAGTGGCACGATTGCGAGCCTAGAATGATTAATAAATAAATACAATTTAATAAAGTTTCTGTTCCCATAAAGAAAAATAATAACGTAACAATGAATCTTTCTCTTTTTTCCATAAACCTAATACTTCTTAACCTAACAATATCTTCATTTCATTTTACAAGTAAATAGACTTTAATTGTTTTAATAAAAGTAATTTTTATATGTCGAAAAAAAAAAGAAATCTTATCTATTTTCATAAAATATTCATCGGTCGTTCGTCGTTGAAAGTAGTTTACTGACAATCTACCGATTAACAAAGGTAACCGAAGTAAAAGATAAACAAAATGTCGATGTTAGAACAAAAATTAGTATGCACATATATTGAAGAAAATGCAATAACAATCTTACAACAAAGTATCTATAAGTACTTCCTTCTAACACAAAGTCAAGTTTTTAAACTCATTTTACATATAAAATATGTTCACTGAAATACGGATTGCAAATAAGGAACGTTTATCGCGTATAATGCAGCAACTATTATAAATAAGAATTAGAATATTTAATTAAACATCTACCCAAGTAACTAATTAAAACTTGCTATCGATTACCTAAACCCAATACTTATATACTCATTTGAATACTTAGTTATTTCCTTATTAAGTAACTTACTCATAAATATTCAATGTTTCATTGGATAAATAGAAAAATTCCTATAACAAATATATATACAGATATATTTTTTTAAGTATTTCCTTTTTTCTCTTGTTATTTTAAAAGAAAATTTTATAAATTCAAACATTCGAAAAATATCTTAATCCATAGAAAGGATTTCTTTCTTTACTAGTTTTCTCATGTTTTGAAAAAGTTAACAACATCTTAAAGAAATATAAGCCGTCTTCTAGTAAGAATTTCTATTATTCATATTTTTCAAGAAATAGGAAAATCATGTGGATCTAGTTTATAAACGGGTTAAATTTGTTTATCGTAAAACCTTTGGGTAGCCACATTTTTAGGTCCGACAGGTAGCCTTACTTTTATCCTTCTTAAGAAATGACACACAGATTGAAGAGTTTTTTCTTTCCTTTTTTTTCTTCACTATGTAACATATATTTTTTTTTAAAAAACCTAAGAAAAGTAAATTCTATAAATATAATATTTACATTTATTTATTTTTTTATTTATTAAAAATATGTTAAGCTATTCTGAATCATGAGAAATAAATGGAATAATATTTAGATGACATAACTTCAAAGATAGATTCTCTATACATTAAAAAAAAAAAAAAATAAGAAAAAATATAATATTATATAAATCTATATATATTATAAAATATTACAAATATATATAAATAAACATAATATACGGCTAACATGAATTAGTTTCCAAATTATAAGCTTCTTTGTTTTCTAATAATTCTTATGACTTTGTTGTTGTTTGCTTTCTTTAATTGTTTACAAGTAACGCTTTTTATCTCATGCACAATCTTCTGGACGGTTATGTAAATACTATTAGACCCAAAACAAGACCAGTTCCATTGTTGACCATTTAATCGGATCAGTTTTTCTGAATAGACATTAACTGATGAATCATACAGTTTATTTTTAAGGGAAAACTTGTATGAACTATTGGAAGACGTATCGTTTGATGTCATAATGGTTTATACATGATGATGCACCACCACATTTTAATCGGCTATATTGAGACAGTTTTGAAATGAGAGATTTCCCAATAAATGAATTATTCTATTACCTAATCTAAACCTATTAGATTTTCGCTAATGAGGGCATTTAAAGTCTTTGATTTATAACACATCAGTAAACGATGTTAAATAACTACAATATCGTATTCAAGAGTACTGTTGACAAATTCAAACAACACGTGGTATTTTGAAACAAGTGAGAAGATCTATGATCCGACGTTTGGAAACTTCTATTCAAGCCGAGGATAAGCACACTTTGAATAATTTTTATGAAAATTATTAAATAACAGGTTTCACATAAAAATCTGCTATTATTCGGAAACAAGATCATATCGAGTATATATGTTTACATGAACATTTTTTTTCATGTTTTAACATATTTAATCTATTTCCAAAGTTATGTTCACACATCTTCAGCAACATCCAGTATATTATTATACCAAAACTGGGAATTTGTTCCGATAGATAATAAATTTTAACTAATTATTGTTATTATAGTTAAGAATTTGTATGTTTTCTACCAATCGGTATATCAATGATCAAAGTTAATTAGGTTATAGGTAGGTATCTAACTATATCAATGAATAGAAAAGCTCTCTTGAGTATTTAATCTCGTGAGCGTATTATATACAGCATCCTATTGTCTTTCAGTTCATCAAATGAAACCTTAGCTAATTGCTAAGTGAGTCGTTCCAGCCAAATCCTTTGTGGGACACGAATGACGATAGGAAACCCGACAACGGAAACGAAAGCAATTTGTTAAATATTGCTTTCGACGATATAAACGGCGCAAACACCGGACCCATAGTAATGCTCGATTTAAACGAGCATCACTATTCTCTCTCTCTCTCTCTCTCTCCTCTTGTATCACACAAATCATAACTAGTTGATTTTCTATCCATTCTCCTCTCACTGTCTCTCTCTGTTTCATATCATCCACGCGTTTGCTCTTTTATTTCTTCTCTATTTAACTTAAACATACACGAAATGTTATATTCATCTCACTGACAGCTCTATTTGATTTTATTATTTTTCATTTTTAATCGATACCTTTTCGAAATGAAAAGAATGCAGGTATACAAAAAGACGTTGGAAAAAAATAAAGAAAAATTTCCCACAGTAGACTGTGTATAGATAGTAGATCAAACGAAACGACAGGGTGTTGGAAAAACATAGAAAGACGTTTGTTCGGTCTCGTAAGAGTACATTCAAACTATGCAAACCGAACTCTGGGTTTGTTGTTTTTAACCGTTCGTTTCCCCTCTTTCCATCTTCCTCGGTCTCTCTCTCTCTCTCTTTTTTTTCTGTCAATGCATCTCATCTATCTATATCTAGAATTTTTCGAATATTTAACAAATAATAGCGTTGCATCAGGTAGTACTATAGTAGTTCAATCAAACCCATAGTGCAAGATCAAGTGACGATGAATTTTCTTAAAATAATACATCGTCTTTTTAGCCGACGGCTATAGAAAATGATTAAAACGATAATTCAAAATCGCCCTAGAAACATTTTTTTACGTTCTTATTACTTGCAAATTTCTCATTTCTATTTATTATATAGATATGTTTGCTTTTTTAGCTTATTTATATTGATAATATATAATACAAATATCAAATATAATATAAATAAATATATATTTCTCAAACGCAACTAAATACACTTTGGAAATATCCACGATAAATTCATTCAAAATTGAATGATCAAAATCCATGAAATCATAGAATATTAAGCATCATTTTCAATATATATATATATATATATATATATACCTATCCAAAGAAAACTCGAGGTAATTTAAAAGCGGAAATGTTACGTATCTATCAAGTAGACAGATGATACTACATAACTTTCAAAGTAGCTAGATTTAAAGGTAAAAGTAATATCGGAGCATACATTTAAAAATAGGGAGAAAAAAAGAGAGGGAGAGAGAAGTACACTCAATTTCGAGGAAAAAGGACAGAAAAAAAAGAAAAAATCGAAGAAAGATCGTAAGGACCGATCCTAAAAATACATTCGGTGGGTAACCTACTAGAATAGGCCTTATAAATGGATTATTAGGCGTCAGAATCGTCACACCTGAGCCAAACTTCTGCCGTCTGCTCAAAACGAGCACTCAAGAAGAAGAAGAAAAACGGTTGCTATATATATATATATATGCATATGTAGTATAGATCGAATACATACTTAAAATACGTCCTCTTGAAGGACCTTTTCTGAATTCCAACGGAATCTCCCAAGGAGTAGAACGAACGGCTAATATTTTACCTGCCGAGGGAAAAAAATGTTGACCGACTCTCACAATTCTTTTGCTTCCCTATTATTGAAAGGAAAGTATAGCATTGAAATATAATATCAAATATATGTGTAATATAATTCCTATCATTTCATATCAATTAAATAATTATATGAAAATAATTCTTTTAATTATTATCACACTGAAGATTGACTTTATCGTATATCTATCGATCGATTAGTACTACACATCAAAATGACATGGAAATGATACTGTTAATTAATATCATACTCGAGATTGACTTTATCTCATACATCTATCTTTTAAGCAGGATATACTGATGAAAGAGATTTAAAAAAGAATATTTATATTTATATTTATATATATATATATATATATATATATATATATGTGTGTGTGTGCGTGTGATCTCGTTGCATAATTAATAATGCAATAGGTAGTTTTCTTCGTCATTAGATCATCTCTATAGAATATCTACACTGGTGTCCCTTCAGCAATGCATCCTAATCTGCGCAGCCGCAAATCCATTTGCAGAGCAACAACTATGCAGGTAACGAGATCAGCAACCGATTCTCTAGGCCCTGTATGTATGACGGGTATAGCTGATCACTCCTACCAATGTGCGATACCATCACATGGACAATGTGGTC